TAAATCATATAAGTTATTGATTCTCATAGTAAATTATAACTGACTATTATACACATTATTCATCATAATCTTTTAACTATGCTTAAAATGTTCATATGCTAGCCTGGCTAATTATTTTTATTAGTCTATTTTGAGTTTGTGTCGAAACTTGAGATTTGATCAATTTTGTTTGCGTTAACCTTATTGTCACTGAGGCATTTAGTCTTACAACTCAATGGCTAATTGTATTTTAAATTTGCATAACCTTTATCTTGAAGCTTACTGCGATGATATTGTTGGTTCAGACTCTTTTCAGGAAGTAAAAATCTGGGACCCTCTTTCATCTCTTGGAGCAGTTATGACTCGTTAAGAATTTCACTTTGGCTTGTGCTATCCTTAATTGCGGAATACTCTTTGCTCTATTTTGAATAAGCAAGAATTTAGTCTTTGATTGATTTAATCTGCTAAGACTATGGTGTAACGATAAAGCAATTAGGCATAGGAACTTAATCCTCGATCTCACCACTTCTGTCTCTATCGCTAATAATTTCATCAGAATGCACATCCACTTCATTAATAGCAAAGTCTTCAAGTTAATCATCCTAATCATCAGGTTCTACAGATTTCTTATCCTTTTTAAACCAATTAAGGAAATTATTCATCTTCTACCCAAGTGAATTTACCCCTAAGGCCCCGCCGTTTTGTTAGTTATTCTTACCTTTTTTAGCTTTTTAATCTTACATTGTCTTAATATCAAATTCATCAATCTCATGAGTGTATTTATTTTCTACTGTATCACCTTAAGTAGTTGAATCTGATTTAGGCTTTCTCTTTATTATATAAAACTTTGACTGGGCATAATCAAACTCTAAGTCAAATTCACTCTCAAATGGAGGTGCATGCTTGCTCTAAGGAGTTTTGGACAGGTACTACTCTTAATAAAACTACTCAAGATCTTTGCACATTTATTTTGTTATTCTAAAGGACATTGCCATCTGAAAGAAAGTTTCGGTATCACAATCTAAACTTCTTCCGAAGGTTTTAAGCTTTACTAAGCTCTCATCGAATGACAGATCGAATAGTTGAGCTATAATGATATTGACAATAAATATATTTACTTTCAACATTTTTAAGCATTGCCAAGCAAACTCTTATAAGAGCCTGGTATCCTTCTAATAGAAATAAGTCAATCACAATGTAAACCATGTCAAAAGGTAAATCAATAGAAAAGAGAGTGAAAAGCCATTAAGACGCATAGAATTCAGCTGTCAATTCACTAGATTACTAATAATTGTTAGTTGTCTCAGTAACTTACAAACATTTCATAAAGATTGGGCAGATAAGCTTTTACAAACATATCTATCTAGAAACAAAGAATCTTAAACTTGTTATTCTCAAATGTTAGAAGTTAATCCAGTTTGAAATTGACAAGCATGGAAATCATCATCCAGAAAGCATCCTCCTCATTTTAAAAACTTACAAGCACAGATCCTACTATTAAATTCATACCCTGGACATAACCTAGCTTCTTATAGTAAATTGAAATTGCTGTTAATATTCTTTCCAAATAATCTTGTCCCTAATTTCCCTTTGCAAAGTATTTCATTTAAGGGAAGGTACGATCTAAATCTTTTTGAATATCTTGCTAGTACTCACTCTTTTTCTCAGTGATTATTTTATTATAGAGGTTTTTATATTTTCTTCTATAAAATATAAATCTAGTTCTGTAGTTCCAAAATTTTACTCTCTCATAAGTAGATAATCCCTTTAATAATAAAACAAAAAAATGCTTACTAATAAAACCAAAGTTTTGAATTACTGATTTATGATATATTTAACTTCTCTAATCTTGGAAAATTTTTTAGAAGTATGAGCTATTTTGATGACTGTATCAATTGATACATACTTGATAACATGATATAATATTCTTACTAAATAAGATTTATCTCGCTTTCTATAAAACTTTAATAACAACATTTGAATATTTTACATCATTTTAGGCTAATTGTAATGCATATGTTTCTTGAATCCAGAGGGAGACTTGCATGCACTTAGACAATGAGATGCTAAAGCAGTCGAGACTAACTTAACTTCTTAAACATCTTAAAGATGAGCTTTTTATATATTATCTACGATTGGTTAATGAAAGCTTTATTCGTTAACTTCGTTATCATCCTCGGTCACTTTTCTGAATATACTCTCTGTGTCCTTCAAAGTAGTTCTTTTTCTTTAAATTTTTGATTTATTTGTCAGTAATTAGTTGCTCTCACTTACATTGTTTTTTATTCTATCATGCAATGAACTTCTTCTGCCTACCTAGCCTTTATCATTTGATTAAAGCCTTTTATTCTAAACCATTCTAGAATTTTCAAACTCAAACAACTGATTCTAAGATATATTTAGTTTTGCTGTCTCATTCTTAAGTTTTAATTAATTCTAAGAACAATTAAGACCTCCCTCGATTTGCTATTTTCTTTGAACATCCTAGTTAGTGTTCCCAAGTTAGACTGAGCTATTATGTGTAAATCCGTGATGATTGTTCCTTGAAACTTGAGGAGATACACTTTACTTAATGTTGTTGTAATGATTCAATGTGAATCTGCTTGATGGACTTTTAGCTTATTGCGCCTTCGACTTGTTCATCAGATTTTCAAAGTAGTTCTTTTTATTCATTGCACTTATATGAGGTGACAATTAGCTATTGTTTTAAATTGTAGTATTCAAATTAACTTTCTCTGTTTGGATAAAATCACTCACCTCAGTTAACTATATTTAAGGTTGCAAATAACGAGACTCTTTTAGTCCCTCTATAGAACTTAACATTCTTTTGCTTTGCTAGTTAACAGTATTCGAAGGCTTAATAATTGTTTATCGAGTTTGATGATAAAGTTTGTCTCCAACAAATGAATTTAGATTCATCATCGATTCATCATTTCTAATCAAGCTATTAGCCTTTTATCTCTCACTTGATTTCAAGCTTAAATGATTTATGTTACTTGTTCCATTATTTTTAGTGGTTTAGTTAATAGATTCATTTCTTTTCTTAATAAAGAGAGAAAGAGCTTACTCATTAAGATTAGAAGATTTCTTGTGACTTTTGCTTGATTGGAGTGTTCCTAAACTGATCTTGTTTTAATTACTATAAGGACTGTTAATTAATCCTAATTAACTTAAACAGCCAAGATTCAATTGCTTTTTAGATGAAGAAAGATCTAGTCCCACTTAATATTCATCCATCATTAGATTCTTTGAGGCGTTCTTTGCGTGTGATTTTTAAAAGTTACACACACTTTATTAATACTAATGTGCAGTATGCTACTTTTTATCTTTAGACATGTATTCTTTTTGTTGATTTTTCTCAGAGGTTTTTCTATTAGTCAGCAAATTCTTCATGTCCAAGTTTTACTTTGCTCTCTATAAGAAAACCTGCAAAGATTCCTTAGTCAGAGTATTATTATTATTGTAGTTTTGCATTTAATGCGACGCCTTACTTGTTCTTTAAGCTACTGACTTCTTTTTCTTAGGTTTGTTCTTTTCAAATCTTGAATCTAAGGTCTCATTAGTCAATCCCATATCATCTAAAGACTTTCTGTGTTTCTCATCAATTTAGGCAAGATCGTCAAATCTCTTGCTAAGGTTGACCTTCTAAGGATAGTCGTATAAGTTATCTTTGTTGCTACTCTCTTATGTATAATTGATGGTTGAAGCACTTTCCCCACCTAGGTTATGCTTGGTTTAGAGCATTTTAGAACTTGTTTTAGAGATATTTCCAGGAATATTGCAGTTGAGGAAATCTTGTGATTCACGATTTGAGTATTGATTAAGCTGAGTCAATTTTGATGATGTCTTTGTTATCACGAATCTCTTGTCATAGGACTAAGACATTAAATGATTTTCAAGGGAGTTATATCTCTCAAGAGAAAATTCGCAGGTATCTTTTTCTGTAAATTGTGTTTTTTCCTCAATCTGCTTCGATTAAGGAGCTTCTAGCTGGATTTAACTGTAATATTGTGAATGCATAGTTGGTAATTCTTAATTGAATACTTATGATATTTTGGGTTGCTAAATATTGTATTTATTCTTGATGGCTTCGTAATCTTCAATTATAGGCTTAGACTATGGTCGACTGTTTTATTGATTTTTGCTATTCATAAGTTTCTCTCTTTCAAAAATAACTACGGATTTTTAATTGGGCTGGTGATGAATACTAATTTGATTTTTGCTTTTAAGATTAACAGATTCTCGCATGAAATTTTAATTTGGTTTTTTAGCGTGAAAATCTAAATTGAAGTTTTCCTTAGACATTTGATTGTGCTAGTTCTAGTGCTGGCCTGGCACTCTGCTTGACTGAACTTGTACCATCTTATTTTGATTTCCCATCCTATTGCTTTAATTTTCATTGTTTTTGCCAGCTCATGATTACATACTAGCTTTATTGGAAATAGACTTAGGAACATAATTATCTCGCTATGTGTTTTGATATGATGGAAAATTAGAAACTTAAGAACTGCTAGATATCCCACCCTAGCTAGCGCTACTTGTGGTATTGGGTCTATTTACTCTTACCTATTAATTGTCTATCTGTCTAAAGACAGTTTGAGAAGCCATTCCACTTGAAGTTTTAATTGGGTTTTGAGAAGTTTGATTTGAAAATTTGAGGGTTTCACTTGAAGATGAAGCGCTACTAGCTGTTGAGTTTCGCTAATGATTGGAGAAAGGCTGGTTCTTATTCTTAAATCCCTGATGCTGAGTTAGTATAATCATATCCTCTTATGAGCTTTGATCAGAGGAGCACTCTTTCGAAAGCTAATACTGATGAAAGCAAAAGATTCTTACCTTTAGATTATAAGAGGGAACGAATTCATGTAAATTTATGAACGGATTATGTGCCATTAAATTAGTTAAATTGATTTAATTCATTCAGTTAATAATTTGGGAAGCTTATCTATCAATTTGCAATCATTAAATAGTTTATTATGACTTGATTATATTAAATAATCTTGGAAAGTAATTAGCAAATAATGGAAGCAAAAAGCGAAGAGACCAAAACTACTGACACTAGTTTGAATACATCTATCTCGAGCGTTGATATTGAAGATGAGTTTTCAGAAGAGGAACTTAAGAAAGCTGAAGAGTTTAAAACAAAAGGAAATGAATCCTTTAAAAGTAAGAATTTTTTTAATTACTTGAAGTGATATACTCATATTATAATTTTTGTTTTCTGTAATTCTCTTAAATAGATGGGAAATTTGATTAAGCTCTTGACCATTATTCAGAGGCTATATTCTGTAAAGTCACAAAAAAACAAAAGGCTATTTACTATTGTAATAGAGCACTAGTTAACATCAAACTTGAGAACTATGCAGTTGCTCTATTTGGTAAATTTCCCATTATATCTTATAAAGAATATTCTAGACGCAAAAGACAGTATTAATTGTGATGAGACATACCCTAAAGCCTATTATCGTAGAGGATCTGCTTATGTTGCCTTGGGGCAACTTGATCTTGCAGTTAAGGATTTCAAAAAGGTCTGCTAATTAATGCCAACAGATAAAGATGCTAGAGAGAAATATTTATTGACTTAAAAGGAGTATAAAGCAAGAGAATTCGCAAAATGTATAGAGAAAGATGACATAAGAGTTAATGTAAATATTGATGATGTTCCAGTTGAATCCACTTATACTGGTCCAAAATTAAATACTATTGATGATTTGACTGATGAATGGGTTGTAGAAATGATGGGTTATATGAAGAGTGGCAAAGTTCTTCATAAAAGATATGCGTATATGATTATATTAAAATGTAGAGAAATCTTTGAAAAGGTTTAATCATTAGTTCATATTTCTGTACCAGATGATAAGGAAATTACTGTGTGCGGAGATATCCATGGACAATTCTATGATCTTATCAACATTTTCCAAATAAATGGAAATCCATCCCAAAATAATCCCTATTTATTCAATGGTGACTTCATTGATAGAGGCTCCTTCTCTGTTGAAGTTATCATTACATTATTGGCTTGGAAAGCTCTTTACCCCAATCATTTCTTCATGTCTAGAGGAAACCATGAGTCAAAAAATCTAAATAAAATGTACGGATTCGAGGGAGAAGTAAAACATAAGTATTGCATTAAAACTTATGATCTCTTCTCAGAGCTTTTCTGCTACCTTCCAATCTCTCATTGCATAAACAAGAAAATCTTTATTATTCATGGTGGTTTATTCGCCAAGGACGGAGTTAAACTAGAGGATATTGCTAAAGTTAACAGAGTAAGAGAGCCTACTGATGAAGGAATAATGTGTGAATGTCTTTGGTCTGATCCATGCGATCAAGATGGTCGTCATCCAAGCAAAAGAGGTGTCGGTGTCTAATTTGGACCAGACGTTGCTCTAAGATTTATTGAAGATAACAACTTAAGTAAAATTTTTAGTATAATCTATTTTTAGAGCTCGTTGTAAGAAGCCACGAAGTAAAGCAAGAGGGCTACGAATATTAAAAAGGTGGTAAAGTATTAACAGTCTTCAGTGCTCCTAATTACTGTGATTAAATGGGAAACAAGGGAGCATTTGTAAGATTCAATGGAGGGGATCTTGAACCAAAGATTACTTCTTTCGAAAAAGTTGATCATCCTAAAATCCCACCAATGGCTTACGCTTCACAATGGAATATGTTCTGAATAAATAGCAATCTATATTTCATATTTCTTAGTTTAAGATTCAATCGTACTGCCGGGGTTTTGGGGTTTTGGGGTTTTGGGGTTTTGGGGTTTTGGGGTTTTGGGG